GTGATGCTGACAATGTGAGATGTAAAATGTTTTATGTCTGCGATTGTCAGAGTTTTGTCTCCTTTGAGTTTGACTTCCTGTTTTTAAAAAATTTCCATTTTGAAGTTGTTCACATATGACGTTTGCTGGAATTAAAGGTTACTTTCTATTCTTGCCACTTTTTTGTACATTTTGGTATCTTAAACTTGTTGATTGGGTTGAGCAGTAATAAAAAATCTTCAAAAAACTTTTTGAGGTGAGAAATTTTTATGAAGATTTTTCAAAACTTCATCATCTTGCAGGTTCAAATCTCATTGATTCAGACTCTTTTTACACTTATATGTATTTAGAAAGAAATTAAGAAGTCGAGTTTAAGTCGATTTCGAACTTTAGACCAAACCTTCCAGATAGTAAAATTTAAATTACTTCAAAAATGTTTCTAGACATCATAGCTGAACAACTCCTTACTATTGCTTGTATATTAAATTTTCTCGTTTATTTGCGTATTGGATTGTGCCATTGAGATGTCTTATTATGAATTTTGAAGGCTATTGACGATGATTCAGCCATTAAATCCTTCCAATCCCTTAAATATTGTGTCACTGACATATTTACTTCTTAACTCTTTTCTTTTCATTTCTATTTGACTCTTTTGATGCGCAATTCTTGCCTATTTTCATCCATTGTGCAAACATCTTTATCTTCATCCACAACATGTGTGCTATCTCCAATTTGTTCATCTAAAATCTCCTCAAAATACATCACATATTAAGTACTTAACAACCAATAAAAGAACCCATTGAATGACAAGATAAAAGTACAATTCGACGCAATTTAATTTCTTTCCGTTCATGTCATAAAAAATTAAAAAGTACGAGAAGTAGTTATGGCCCATATCTCACACTTCACCCTGCTCGGAATCTTCTTTCTTTTTATTTCCTCTTCACGTGATTTCTCATCATGATTCCTCTTTCCTTAATTGTATATCCACACTCACTCGCATGTTGCTTCCATATACACAATTTTTATGGGAAATTCAAGTTTATTTCTTCTTGTTGGAACTCAAGTGGTACATGATGAACAATTGCGTAATGTACAACAAAAGTGATTTAATGGACTGTTAAAAATAATTTTTCAAGTGCTTCGAATAAGAAAGTTTTTGGTGATGTCCTTAAAGATTTTTTTTGAAGGATTCTTCAGCTCTCAAATCTTACAAGACTTTCCCATTCCCGACAGAAATTCCACTTCCAACTCAAAAATCATAGATTAATGGCCATAAAAATTGCACACACAAGAAGACTTCCACACACGTGAAATTATCATCCATAAGGGGACGGCTTGAATCACCCTTACAATATTATTTAACCCAGTTATGCTTTATTTCTAAACATTTCAAGTCCTTGCTTTTGTTTCACATTTTGCACAGCATGAATGGAAATTTTTCACAGAATCTATGGCATCATTGTCGCCGTTTGCATCATTATTATATCGGAAAAGGCAGTCAATAAATCAAAATTAAGTTAGGAGATGCTTAGGGTGATGCGGCCTTGCTCCACAAATATTTATGGAGATTTTTTGGAGCTCCCCGTTGGTATGGCTATGCATGTGATGTCCTTGGATCTGTAAATATCATGATTATGGTGTGGCTTTATGCTGATTGAATTTTTTTTGGATTTTTGTAAATTTTGAGGTTCATTTGTTGAAGTTTTTAACATTTGTGGACCAGACTCGTCCATGAAACCCCAAAAAACATCAACTTTCCGTTCATCCAACCAATATCCATCTCAAATCGTCTTCATTTCCCACATTGAATTTCACTGAAGCACAAAATAATTAGAACTCTATTGTTGACATAGATTCCATGGATTAAATACATTATGTCATCTCCCAGAATCGCCTCATTGCCCCGGTAAACAAGTTTTTATTATTATTGTACATGAAATATAAAAATAATATCGACAGAAAAAAAGGAGAAACAGCATAAAAAAAAATATCCCGCGGAGTTTTTGTTTCCTTTTGCGCGTCCTCTTCTCATTGCGCTTATTGTATGGATTTCAAAGACAAGCGATGATCATATACAATAGAAATGACATAACGAAATGAAGGGGACGAAGACGAAACTTAAAAGGGAGTTGCGATTGTTATTATTATTTAATTTTTTTATTACAGATATTTCTTCGTCTTCTTCAATTCCATTTCTTATTTTATTTCTTTTGTTGTTGCTGCTGCTTTTTTTTTGGCATTTCTCAAAGGTACTAAAGAGATCACATCCAGTTTTTATAGCTGAATATTTTTTTTTGTTTAATTTTAATCATGTGTGAACTGTGTAACCCCTTTTATGAGATTTTGTACTTTACTAGATATACAGCTAGTTTTGTGTAGCTTGTATTTTAATGTGAAAAAAGATATAGCTTTTATTAGTTTTGGATTACACTGGGAGAAATGATTTTTATGGGAATTATTTGAGATTCGAGATATGGAGCAGAATTTTAGTGTATTCTGAGAAGCACAAGTTGAAGCTTTCTGGAGTGACTTCTGTTACTCTACCCCAGGATGGCAGGGAGGGGGGTTGAGTGAGATCCTGAATATCAATTTTTAAAAAAAATTTTATTTCTAAATTTTATTGCAACCATTTCTTCCAGTGTAAGCCATTTAAAGCTAGTAAACTCACCTTTGACATTCTTTAGAAAAAATCTATTTTTTTTTATTGTTGTTAAACAATTCCAAAATTCTCTTAAAAATTACATAAAATAAAATTGTCATTGTATCCATATCCTAGCAAAGATAGTTGGATAAATAGGATGACAATGACAATCATTTACGGTCGAAATAAAAATTAAACTTACTTTAATCCAATCTCTTTAAAATTCCCTAAATTGAAATCTATTTAACCTTATAGTAAATTCCCTACTATAACCAGAATGTCTTTAGCACACACAATAAAAGAAGTCTTTCACATTCAACAAGAATGAAATCGAAGCTATAAATCACCATTCGCTCGTATTGTAATCGAGAAGTTCATGAGTGCGTAACAAAATAGCGCGCGATTTATAGTAAAAAAAAAAAAGGATATTGCCAAAAAAAATTTGTGTACACACAAAAAATAAGAACTTTCCTTTGTGCTCTCTGGCGCTGTCATGTGATTGAGAAAGGAACAAAGGAATATGCAAATAAGGCATTCAAGAAAATGGTTTTGTAGTTTAATAGAATATAGTCGAAAACAAGAAGACAATCAGTAAGAAAGGGGTAGAGGAACTATTTAATGATTTCTTTTACCTTTGGACTGAGCATTTTATGGATGTTGAGGTAGGAAAGTAAAGATTTTGATCATTTTGACCTGCTATTACCATAGTAAATTGGATGTTTATAAGGAGGGACGGAATTGGCTGGTTTCTTTGAGTTTATGCTATATTACTTATTATCTAGTCTTTGGAAGGTACAGTTGAGGAGATTTAAGGAGAATTAGCGTGAATATAAATTGGTTTTTTACTCAAAAATGCGCTCTAAACTCAAAGTTCTGATAATTCTCAATTTTCATCCATCCATTCACAAAAAATCCTCAGAACTAGAAAGCGAACCAAAACGGAAAAGAACTTCCATTTTAATTCATCTGATACTGACATTGTATAAATACAGGTTGTGTACGCGAGGCAAAAATTATATGTTAATGGCTTTGAATTGTGTTTTCTTCTTCATCTTACATGCTGGCTATATGAAAATAATTTTAGGTATGGGGTTGTAAAATAAGAAGAAATGTAGATCAAATTTTTAGAATAACAAAAGAACTGCTGCTGCTGTAGAATTAAATATAACAATAATAATATATCTTAAAGACAATGGAAACTTATAAGTAAGAATAACAAATAATATATATTTGCTTATTGGTACCAAACATATATGTGCGGTATGTATATTTATTTATTTATTCTCGTGAGCACCTAAGGGAAGAATTATTTGTTGGTTTACCCAGTGTAAATACAGTGTAGCGAATAGAGGAAAGTCATGAGTTACAATGCTAAAAAAATAATAACAAGAAATGAAATGAGATGGGTGGAAGGCAGTGTTTCTCAAACTTTTTTGGTACACGGCACTTTTTTACATAAAAAATTTTACGGCACACCTGAAAAGTTTGCGGCACTCTAAATGATTTTCACGACGTCATCAAACACGAAAGTAATAGGCCAATTTTAGGAATTAATTTTTTTCCCGGCACAAAGTTTGAGAACCACTGGTATATAAGTTTTATAAAAAAAAAGTATCCGCATTCTTGAAATATTTTTTAACTTGGAGGATTGGAACCTATAAAATTTTCTATTTTCGAAGATTAACTTGAACATTTCTTCATATGATTAATCAGATAGTCTGGAAGCGGCCGTACACTTATAACGTCAAAGAGAGGGGGGTTCGGTTCAACAAAAAAAAGGAACAATAGAAATTCTTGGAAATCGGTTGTTCCTGTTTGTAAAATGACTGTTAATTTTGGACGTCATAAGTGAATGATCCCTTAATAGATTTGGGATCACAAACTACAAACCAATCCAGAAAAAAAAACACTCGCATACCAAGAACAAAACTATCACAAGATTTATAGCCAAAATTTTCTCCATTCTCCTTTAATTTTCTTCTTATTCATAAACACATTTCCACACCACATCTACATCCATAGCTCACACTTAGATCCTCGAATTGTTAAACAAAAAAGAAAGAAATAAGAATGAATGAAAAGTACACAAAGTGCCATAAAGACAATAGGAAGAGAATTTGTAAGAAACAATTGAAATCTATAAATCCTGTGTGTGTCGCGGCAATAAAAAGGGGGATGCTATAAAGAAAAGTAGGGAAGAAAGGAAGTGCAAACAAAAAATCAAATTTATTTGTTTTCTTTTTTGTCTTGGCTTCATGTTAATTGAGAAAAGTGAATCTAGTTCCAATCGACTTTTATTTATCTCGTATCTCAAACAAAATTTATGTATACGCATTATCGCTGTCGAGTCAACAAGGAAGAAGAGAAGAAGATTTAATTACGTAAAACTCAATGTAACCTCCTCGTCATCACCACGAGCACTAATGGTGTGTTCAATCCATGGCAAATAGTTTGTGACATTGACGTAAACAGCTGGATAACCCTCAGTGCCACATCGCTTTTGTCCGAAGCTTACAATTCCTGTCAATACCCATTGAAATTTTTTGTTGTCGAAGTACATTAACGGTGATCCGGAGTCGCCTACACAATGGACACATATGAACATGATATTAAGTGCTGTTCCATTAACCCATAAAAATATATTTTTTTATTATATTACCAGAACATGAGTCCTTAGCCTTCTGCCCACCCGCACATATTTGACTCGGACTCAGCTTGATTCCTCCATCGAAATACTTCTTCGTACAATTGACCTTGTCGACATAAGGAAGGGATACTTTCAGTTTTATTGGACTCTGTACGAGTTTTGAGCCATATTTTGATCTAAAATAATCAGTCTTTCCCCAACCACAGACTGTCTGCACATAACCGGGAACTAAACCTTTACTGAATTCTTTTGTAGGCAAACAAATTGGCACTGCGAATTCGTTATACTTGACAGTCTCTTTTAGTCGTAGCAATGCTAAGTCATGGTGTTTTGATGGATTCTTTGGATCGTAACTGGGATGTGGGATAATTTCATTAATTTCATAATCAACTGGAGGTGGTGCACAGTCTAAATTCTCTTCATCTTCATACTGTATACAATCCTTGTCTGTTGTGAGATCATATTCACCCATGCGAGCATATTTGAGAGTAACTGCTTTTTCTATTGTTTCTCCTTTGACGCAGTGACCTTGGAAGGATGGAATCAAGATTAGTGTTTGAGTTACAAATTAAAAAGATGACATACCTGCAGTCAATACGTATCTAGAATGAATTAAGGCACCACCACATGCATTGAGAGTTAGATTTGATGATTTGGACTCGTAAAGCAATAATGCAGCCCATGGAAACTCATTTGTTTATACCGAGAACAAAAAAATTAATTTATATTATTTTTAAGTTTAAGTTGAATGACATCTATAAAAAAATTATTTTGAAAAGTAGAGACATATTATAGTTTTAATTTTTAAGTATTAAAACCTCTTTGAATTGAGAACTTCATATTTTTTTAAGATTTGATGTTATTCATGCGCTTATAAAAAATTAACAAAACACTAAATTAAGCTTTTGAAAAATTTCCTAAGGTCTAGCCTTTAAAGATAAATTTGATGCAAAATTTGATGAAAAATTTTAAAGCCCGGTAAAAAATACTTATCAATTTCACACAACTCTCCACCAACAATTCGATCATCAAATGCTTGCATGCCGCATTTTCTCTTCGGCATTAATCCATTTCCCTCTCCAAAGCGATTGTCTAAATCAACATTTGTCTCTTGAGTCTCATTTTTCTCAGGCTCTCTCACAATTGCGCTCTCCAGGTCAACGTCTAGATCAGGTTTTCTAAATTTGTTAAAAATATGTCTTATTAAGTGTATTTTTGTGTCATGATGATAATCAATTTGTGTTTATTTACATTCTCGGTTTGGTCAATGGACAGTTGTTTTGGGACACTTTTTGAGGATGAGGATTTGAAAAGTGAAATTTTTTTTGGGTCAAATTTTTTTTCTCACATTGATTTCATCTAAAATTGAGTAGGTCATGTCGTCAAGTCTGTTTTAAAATATTATAAAGCTACAAAAATCTCAAATCAATGTCCACTGCCTTATTATTAAGCAACAACGATTAAAATTATCAACAATGACTAATATTCTTACAAAATTCACTATTATTGCTTACTTATAAGTATTCCCAGGTTTAGGGCAACAAACTAAGGACTTCCAGCTTTCTTTATCAAAACCACAATTTAAGCGCAGCACGAAGCTTAACCGTTCAACACCTAGGTCAGTGACATTAAACAGTTCTTCATAATCGGCACAGTCTTGTCGTTTAATGCAAATTCCTCTCGTACTCTTTTGGTTTGGAATCTTACAGTCGTCGCCAATTTGAAGACTTGCTCTCATTTTTCTAGAATTTATTATTTGTGGATTTATTAGGAATAAAAGGAACAAAACTTTTATCAATTTTTCCATCTTATTGTTGCACAACACACGAAGCAATAAGAAATCAACATGAACTTGACCAACTGAAATGCCGCGAACAACTGATTAAAAAAAATATTCAATCTCTGCGGAAAAAAAATAACTTGAGGAACTTGAATTTACGCTCAATTAAGTCTTGAGCAGCTCTCAGCAAAAAAAAAACTTTGTCAATATTTCTGAGTATTTCACGAGATTCTCTTTTATTTATTAAATTAATAATGTCCATGAGATTAGTGCATCCATACAAATGCTGACTTGTAACATTTCTCAAGAATAAGTCTGATAAATTAATGAATTCAAGGTCGCATGTGATCCTCAATCCACGATCGGTATGATGACACTTTTGTGTAGATTGCTGGCCAGTCTTCAAGTCCACAAAGGTAACCGAATGAGACAATTCCTTCTACTATCCATGTGTTGTGGAACCTTTGAAGTGGACCGCCGCTGTCTCCGTCGCAGGCGTCTTTTGAGAATTCTAAGGGATGTTCCAAAAATTAGATGGATTTTATTTGATCAAAATTTGATTAAGGTTGTAGCTTATGGGAGCATTAATTTGCCATGACACCAACCCTAACAGAAGTAACTCACCTCCCCCAGCACACAGTTGCTCATCATGAATGACAACTTTCTTAGATGAGAATTTTCTCTTACAAATTTCATGATCATAAATTGGAATTGCCAATTTTTGTTTGATTGTACTTCTTCTTGCTGCCAATGTTCTTCCAAAACCAACTATATAGACAGTATTACCTGCCTTGAGTGGTGGTAGATCAGCAGCTGGCAAGCAAATTGGGCGAACCATACCTAAAAGATAATTCAAAGAGTTTTGAGGTACTCAAAAATAATTGAATAGCTTAAAACTTACGACTAAACCTAACTGCTTTTCTTAGTCTCACTAATCCAATGTCATTTCTACGATTAATAGCTCGTTGATTGTAATTTTCGTGAGGTATTACTTCTTCTATTGCGTTGAATCGATAGGGATTTTGGCAGTTCCGTTCATTGCATGCATCAGCTTCTCTTAAATCGTAGTCACCAAGTCTAATGTTTGAGCTGAATAGATAGTCAAGAGATTATTAAATTGGTAACAAATGATGGCAATTGAGAACTTACAGCATCCCGATTCTTGCGATTATATCACCTGTAAATGAAATCAAAATTATTTCTATTGTCTTGATGCAGGAGATTGTAAATTGAGAACATAATAAAGTGGCCAGATGAGAGCTGAAGTGTGCTTATTACCTCAAGCTAGTAATATTTCAGGAATTATTATCAAAGATTACAAAACCATCATCTAGGCTAGAGCTCGAAGTCGATGAAATTTTGTATGGATTCGAGTCGACTCCGCTATACAAAATCGATGAAAATCTCGATTCAACTTCGAGCTCTGACCGCGTCTAAGTCTCAGTCTAATGTTCTGATTCAGAAAATTTCATAAATTAATCTGGCAATAAATCATCAAAAGGAGGATATAAAAATCTACATTCATAAGTGTGATGTTGCGGAACTTATAGAAATTAGCTATGCTACGTAATACGTAACTGAACGTGAGTTAATAATGCTGACTAAGAATTTTATGAAATGTAGACTGACATTTTGATCTACAACAATTGTAATGTATTTTTGGAGTTTCAATAGTTGCGATGTATTCTTATTTTAAGAGAAGTTTGGGGCCGTTCACTTATGACGTCCAGGGGGGGGGGGGGGGGGGTCAGCAAGAAAATAACAATAGAAATTCCTGGAAATCCATTGTTCTTTTTTGAAAAATGACCGTTAATTTCGTACGTCATAATTGAACGGCCCCTTACTGTGATTAATTTTAATACTTTAGAAGCAGTTCCAACATTTCCTCCTTGATTCTTTCAACCAACATCCACCTGAACTTGAATAAAATGAACTCTCAATTCCCCCACAACATCATCATCATCGTCTAGTCTCAGTCATTATTAATAACATAATTTCAATTATTAATGAAATCTCACCCGTAATGCAATGACTTGCAGTCAAGACATATTTCTTGCTTATCAAACTTCCAGCGCAGTTTATTGAAACCTCACCAGAAACTGTGAATAAAATAAACAAGACATCATTTCCAAGAGTCATAAATTCTCAACATACACCTTACATTTTCTGTACTCGAATAATGCCAGCCATGGAAATTCTTCTCTGTCTGTGTTCTAAGGACAATAAAAAAATAAATGAGAAATATTTTCTTTATCATGAATACCAACTTCCAACATACTTGTCCCGAATAAATTCGATTCTCAATATATTCCCGTCCACAATCACTCTCGTTTGGCAACAGATCGGTCGAATTTTGGAAACTGATTGAGTCATCTGTATTTTCATCTTCATAGTCATCAAAATTTGCCGTTTGTGTTGATATTTTTGGTAATAATGCTGATGGTTGCGGTGGTGCATCTGCTGTGGTCGGTTGTAAAATTAACGAGTCATCATTTCTGGCACAGCACACGTACGGAATATTTTCTTCAACTGGCCATCCAGCATCACATTGCGACATTTGAAGGAATCTTATTGTCTGTTGAGTAAGCGGTTTTGCTCTTAATATGTTAAGGAGGTAGTCACAATTGTAGATTGGTAAGCATCGACCCATCTTGTAGCCGGGTGTGCGGCAAAAGTCTGTTGATGGATGTTGGATGGGATTTATTGATTATGGATTGGAAAATTTGAATAAATGAGAATTTTTAGGATTTACAAGCACTTGAATCACCTGCTCGTGAAAATATCGAGAAGTTGCCGGATGTGACTCTCAAATCTTTGGAATATTCCTCAAATAATTCGTTTAGTAGTTCAATTAGCAACTTACTTTGAGTTAAAGCTGACTGGATTGTGATGGATATTAGGATAATTAATGAGATTAGCCCTCGACTCTTCATCTTTGTCAGTTGAGTTTAATGTGTTGATTTTTTAATGCTAAGCGCCTACAAGATTGTATCTAAAAGATATTTAACATTATTTATTTTAATAAAATTCAATTTTATTGAAAAAGTAACTTAATAAAGTAAAATAGAACTAAGTTTTGATTAAAAGTTCATCAAAAATATTTATTGCACCTTAAAACCATTCAAACTTTAAACTGACAGACCACAAACAATTTGCACACATTGTCACAAATTAGAAAACAGTCAGACGGGTTATTTTTATTTTTGTTTGGGAAATGTAGTTTCATATTCCCAAAATGAGTCAGAGAGTTGAGCATAAACTTTGACAATTCTCTCTGTTTATCAACCAGTTAGGTAGTTGAGCAATTAATCATGTAATTTATTTTGTAAGAACAACAAACAATTTCACTCTCATTACCAGTTTTGCTCAATTTTTTGCATTAGACAAGTTTATTGTTTTAGATTCGTTTGTTTATGATGACTGTTAATACAGGAAAGTGTAGGCTCCGGAATTAAAGCTCATAATATGCCGGTATTGCATTATTACGAATTATTCTATATCCTTATAGAACTTCTGTGATTCCCACAGACTGAATTTATTAATATTTTCTATCATTTAAGTCACTTCTACCTCTAATCAATCTCAAATCCGCAGGCTTCGTCAAGTTTAATTAATAATAATCAACCTAAGCATCCAAATTACCCGGCACAAATTAACCGTTAAATCACACAAGGAACCACTTCAGTCATCAACCTAGTCTCACATATTCGCACAAAAAATCATCTCACATTTCCTCCTGAACTTGAACTTAATCATGCAATTAATAAAATCGATTTAATTCCAATCGTCCTTGAGATATTACCGGTCATATAAGCTCACATCTGGTTATCTCGTAACATGAAGAAACAATTAACATTTAATGAACTATAATGATGAGTCTTAATGTGACGACATTTTTCTTGTGTAGATTGTAGTGCAGATTAATGAATGGAGATTGATTTTTTTTGTAGCATTTTTCGCTGCTTCTCATGAAATTAATTTTAAAATTATGAAATGGGGGGTCTGATATTCAAAGAGGCAAACAACAAGCCTAGATACCCTCAATAAACATAAGTCCCTCACTAATACTTTAATTTAAAATCCTAATGTCAAAAGTTCCCATCAATTTATTTGAATAGAATAAAATAAATCTGATAAATTAATCAACAACTCCCCTAAAGGTCGCCAGAAGTCAAAACATTTCTATTCTATTAAGTCATGACACTTTCTTGTCAAAACAGTAATTTTTGATATTTTACAATTCAATAAATTCATCTAAACTAATTCACAGCAGCTAATAAATCAAAATGTTTGATTGATTAACTGAATCAATTGCGGCACGTGATGCTCGAACGCAACTTACTACTTGTGAGGGAAGTTTTTAACGGACACAGGGAAAAGAGTTGAGTAAAATAAAATAACCGAAAAAAGTCTCGTGCACAGAAAATTTCTTGTGATTGTTCCATAAATCATATGAAAATTGTATTCTTGTTGCGGAAGTGATTTATATTCCATGCTTTTTGTGAGAATAATCGCATTAAGGTCCATTTCATGGTTCATTATGATGACAACCAGGATTTTTGAGTAGGATTGCTAGTTTTGAATCTAAACAGAATTTATTTTTATATCAGGTAGTGTGACTGGGAATATCCCAGAAAGGATGAATGAACTCTTCACAATTGAAGACTGATATTGTTCATTGTGTGTTCATTTTTGCAAAAAAAAATATCTTTAAATTCAATTGACTATTGACTTAAGGAACACGTGTTTATTGTTTTAGGATCGATAAAATATGACATGTTCAGTAAGGTTCAGTAGTTTAAAATAAATTTTCATAATAAACTAGTCACAAATTATTGTTAAACTTATTACAATTTAAATCCACTGATTCCGAAGTTATTCTTAACTTTTTATGAAAATTAATCCATTCGTAAGTCAAAAATTGTCACCAAAAATCTTATCAAACTTACAAATCAATATTTTTTAAAAACTTCTTTAATATTCCAAAAAACCTCAATTAAAATCAATGATCCACATGTACTTCAAATGGTAAGTCTATCCAACTCTTTTGCGACTTAATCGATTGAAATGTTTAATGAAACTGTCTGCGAGTAGCCGATTAATTTACTTACTCATTGTGGAATCTCTCAGTCGAGTGGTGGGAATTTTTTTTACTGATTTGTTCACCTGTTTAAGAATTTTTTACACTCTATAAATTTATTTTTATTTTTTTTTCTCAAAAGTAAATTCGCTCAACTTGTTGATTTTGTTTGTTTGTGCCTTGAAAAAGAGTTTGATTTAAAAGAGAAGATGTTGTTTTGACCCCAACTGGTCAAGTGAGAATAATATGACAAGAAATTCTTTTTTTGAAAGGTCAGTTGCGAGGTTGATTTTGTTGGGAATTCCTTTGATTAGGACGATCATACTTTGGGATCGTTTATAAATGACACTTAGAAAATAATAATATTTTTGGATCCCCTCCCTCGCGCTGACAAGCAAATCAAAAATTTTAACTTTTCAAGATAGCCTCGAACCCCTTCAACCTTAAATGACGAACAATCTAGTTAATTGATTTATTTGAATTATACTCATTATTAATTTAATAACAGCAGATTTAAATTATGATAGAATAATTGATATTTATACACAAATATAAAGTTTATTGACTTCACGATTTATTGGAATTTAATGAGACTAAAGTTCTTTACGGTTGGTCAACTTGGAAATTCTTAAAATTAACTTGTAGTCTATTGTTGATGATTGACTTGTGATTCACAAAAAAATTTGCATTCTTCTTATAAGTATTGAATTCTAGTTCTTCTGAATTGAGATGTTTGGAGAATAAGGAAATGTCTGCATGTGATTTGAGTCTTTTTTTGATCGAAATGATTGAATCAGAACTGGATGGTTGTTCTTAAAATTGAATGAATTAATTATTGATTGTTTTAATTGAACTAGAAATACATGTTTTAGTAAATATCATTCAAATATAAAATTATTCTCAAAGCTAGTTTCTAAGATATAAATAAAACTTATCTGTGATCAGGCGCTTAGACAAAGGGGAAACAAATGTTCCTACCAGAGTTACGACAGGCACTTGGCACAGGTGAGAACCGTATAATTCCTTGATAATTTATAAGGTTTTTCTTACAAAATCATACAAGTTCTAATAAAACCACACAACTTTTCAACGAATTGTATGGTTCTCATCTGTGCACAGGTGCCTGTATCGCAACCATGGTTCCTACATTAACCGAAACTTGCTAAGGTTTGTATAAAACAATTCTTAAAAATTCTCTTAATTTTTCATACAAAAATAAAATTTGTCCCTTAATCCTTCTATTCCTGGCTATGCCCGTGTCAGTGACTAAGGTAGGTACACCGTCTAGCCTTTGGAACCTGCCCCAGTATAACAATTGGAACTCATGTCAAAAAAATTGTGATTAGTGAAAATTAAAATTTCAAACCAAATTTCTTTCCACAAAACCCAATAAGTCTTTAAATCTTTCCAGAAAATTAGTTAAATATACAATCTGTAAATTATGTAATCCACTAGCCTCTCACACCCTCCTACTGCAGTTAATCACAGAATCATCATCAACAGAAAGCAAAAAATATTCTAATTTTTAAAGTCATCAGCTCTAAATCATTCCTTAAAACAGGAGATAGAAAAAAAAATATTTTTAAATTCCCATCACAGCTTTAGCGCAATGCCGTTCCGGAGTTTAATTAGTATTTTCATTAACATAAATCAACTTATGATTTATTTCATGTCCTGAAAAAAAATTCTACAAGATCGAAAATTTGTAAGACAAAAAAAAATTATTTCAACCCTTTAGCGGAACTGCCGACATGCACTAAACCCCTTTTTATGTCCTTTTTGATCCACAGAAAAAAAAATTCCGCCTATTTTTTCGATTGTGAAATTTTTTTAAATATTTTATTATTCAATGAAGATGAATGGGTTAAATCTGTGTTTTTTAATTAGTGAAATTTTTTTCCATTCATCAGCAGTATCAACAAAGTCAGCGGGGTTTGGGAGGGTGAGACCAAATGCAAAAAAGTGACTTTCAATCCTTTATTTATAGTCACACAGAAACCATATCGCATTTCTTTTTTATTTCGGTATCAAGAAGTAATTTCAAGGAATTAAAAAAAATCTTGCTGTCTTGTTGCATAATCATGGTGACAACATGGATATTTTATGGGTTTAAAGGATGATTTATAGAATTACAAAAAGGGAAAAAGCTGAAAGTTTTTTAATCAACAAAAAAAAATTTGAAACAATTTGTTGCAAATTAAAAATAAATTTTTTAAAAAGAGGATTTTTTTTCTTGGACATAAGGTGCTGTTAGGATTATATGGAAATACTTTTCTTTAGTAAAATTTATTAATTATTCAGATCAACTTAAAATCTAATCGGTGACCAATAATTCAAATTCACAAATTCGGACCCCCCCCCCCCCCCCTGTATCTTAAATTATGGCTGTCATCTAAAGTCATAATCAAAAGAAGTTGACCCTAAACTATGAGAAAGATACACCATTGTATTCCCGAATGGCACAAGTTTCGTAAGTAAGTCGAACAGAAATTCGTCATCAAGTGTGACTCTGTCATTGTGCTGGATTTAAAATGATTGGATTTAAATCGAAGCCAGCATCACGCCAAAGTCTTGCTTTCTTGGTGCCAGATTTCTATTCTATTCTTCTCTGATGTAGACTTGGAAAAAATGTAGAATTGTAGACATCTACATCGAATCTTTACGTAGACAGAATCTTTATGTAGAAATAATCTTTGTCTAGATTAGATTTTCTATCTTCATATAGAATCGATCTTTATGAAGAAAGTTTCTTAGCTAGACAAAAACTATTGAAGAATCTACATTCTTCATCTAGTGTAGACATCTACATTTGCAACACTGCTTGTGTTTAAACATGTGTGAATTTACTAAGCAAACAACAAAACTCAATTTTAAGCTTTTAACATTCGAAATCAACAAACGCTGAAGACTCCGCACACACCCAACTTTGTAATATTTTGCATACTTCTCAGTCTTTGTTTTCGAAATAAAATAAAATTGCAAGAATTTTTGCATACTTTAAGGCGTTGAAGTTTATCGTTGATTTTTCTTTCTTGTTTACTAGTTTTAGTCATTTTTGCATACCTGATCAAAAATACATTTTAATTCTCCATTGACGAAATTCTCATTATAATTTTACAAACTCAGCAAAAGTTTCCTTTTTGTGCTGATTCATCTTAAACAAAATTTCTTTTAATTGATTTTCCTTTTAAATGAGATTAAATTGAATAAAATTTACAACTTTCTAAAAGAAAGAAAAAAAGGGGGGATTAAAATTAATTTTATGCAAAACACAAACTTTATGAGTCATGTTGACTTCCAAATGAAATTAAAAATCTTTGTCTTTTCTTTTGCATAATTAGATTTTATTTATTTGAAATTCGAATGTAATGAAAGAGTTGTCGTGGGGATATTTACAAGATAAAGGTCCTGAAGAGCTGCCTGAATCTTAAAAAAGTGTCTTTTTTTACTCGCATTATCCGAAAATTAACTTCTTCATTTTAATCTCTTGACTATAAATAATCATCGATTCTTCCAATCAATTCCCTTCAAAAACCCTCAAAAAAATTAACCCCCACCCTGAAAAAAAATTCATGAATTATTACCGAAAAAATAATAAAAATCAGATATAACATCACACAAGACGAAAAAGGACACAGGAAATAAGCTTATGATTTATATTACAATAACAACAGTGAGATTAATTTTGCGTGTTTTGTCAGTTCAACATCAAAGGAAATGAGACGAGTTCCGGTTGATGAAAGTTAATGTACTGCAGTAAATCTGAGTATTAAATTCCATTCTTTGTGCTGTGCTCAACATACATCTAGGAACATTGCTTAGCCAGTGATTTTATTTTTGAGAGATTTATGTCATGCTGGTTCTTATTTTTGCGACTTGAATTTAGAGAAAAAAAAATATTAAATGAAGTTTTTTGATGTGTTTTTAGAGCGCAGATTTGATTCTATTCTAATTTGAGATTTTTTTGAATACTAAGGATTCGTAGATCTACATCATCTCTAGCATCCAAGTCGAAAATAGACCATAAAACTTCAATGTGAATAATTGGTCCTCAAGACCCTCCAACATATCTAGAGCATCCAAGTCGAAAATAGTCCATAAAACTTCAATGTGAATAATTGGTCCACCAGACCCTCCAACAAATCATCAAAATCAAATTCTCAATAAAAAAAAATATTCACGAAGTTCGTCCACAAAACTTTCATCATTTTCATGTTCCTTTATCCAACATCTCTTAAATGATTAATAGAGCAAAGTCATAACAGCAAAATGCATCATTAAGTGGCTTATGGTGAAACACGAAATCTCTATCAGAAATGTCTGACCGCACATCTTCTTCCTCTTTAGTTTTGTATTTTTTTTTTCGGAGTTTATTGTCGCCCACTGTCGTCAATGTATTATAAACAATTTATCCTTAACATGAATTGAATGAGGGACATGAACAACCTTCAAGTAAAACGACCATGTACTAGAAATATTGTACAGAATATGTTAAGCAATGATGGATGATGGAAATTTCCGTTTTGGACATGATAACTTTATTTATATCCTGTGACAAAATTTTCACTTAACTTTTATCCAGAGACCATTCGGTTGATGAATATTTCATTAGATGTAGTAAATAATTTTTATTTTGTTGTTTTGTGTATTATGTTTTGGCATGGATGGATGGGTTGATTGGTGACTGTTTGGTAGGAAGATGTAAGAACTAAGATGTTTTTAGTTGAATAATTTGTAGTTGGATTTATTAGAGTGGTGCGTGTTGGAATTAAGAGGGTTGCAGCTTTGAATAGGTTAGATATGTTCAATGTTAAGTCTGCCATCTAATGCAAAGCTAGGAACCTATCTTATCATCTCTGGAGATTAATTCTAACCGCTTGTAAATAGAAATTGTGATTTTAGACAACCTCACATACGCTATTACAACCCTGCAGCACTATTTTACACTCATTCGTTGACTATACTAAGCATGAAATATGTTTGATTCAAGAGTTCTTCTTAGA